ACACACACACACACACACACAGACTGACTGTCAGACCACTTGTACAGGTGAGCATGCCAAACGACCACTTTGAGCTCCATTACTTCGGGTGCAATGTCACAATGTCCGCAAGATGCCGCTGCAAAACCACACACAAAAAAAATCATGCCTAAATCCAACATATGAAGTGACACTTTAGTTCAGACAGACGCGTCGTCAGTGTTCAGTCAGTTTGATTCTGAAGGACAGCTTCATCCATCAGGCTGTCAGGAAGCTGAACTCCCTCCCGACCTTGCCCCCCCTCCCCTTTTGCCCCACGCACCACTGAACTCTGACGGACTCTCCCACTCCCCCCTCCCAAATACACACACACAGTCACTTTAATCAGTCTAAATAAGCTCTTTTTGCACTACAAATCATTATATCTGCACTGTTGTTTACTTCACTGGTTTGCACTCTATCTGCCATGTGCCGTGTGCTGCTTTATATATATTTTTTTATATATTTTTTTACATTTTACCTTATTTGTATATTTGTATAGTTGTATTTTATACTTAATCTGTATATCTGTATTTATGTTCTACTGTTAGTGTTATCTGTATGCACCAAGGGTCTGAGAGTAACGCAATTTCAATTCTCTGTGTGTATGTGCTGTACATGTGGAAGAATTGACAATAAAGCAGACTTGACTTGACTTGACTTGATGTAATTTATAAATAACATGAAACAAAATAATAACAATAATACACTTAATTTATATAAAAACGCAAATATTATTAAGGCAGAATTCTGATTACAATGTCAAAATAAAAACTCTAATTTCTGTGATAAAAATTTTTTAAAAGTCTTTTATGAAGAAGAGCCAAACTATTAGTTACCTTAAATATTTCTGTTATGTTATGTCATTATATATTAATACTAAATAATTCATCATTAAATTCATTAACATTAATAAAAACGTATTTATCATAGTAAATTGAATTTAATTTATAATTCATAAGTAAAATACGTAAAAAAACTAAAAGAATAATTAATATTAATTAATTCATTAATTAATATTAATACAAACATATCGTAGTAAATTTAATACAATTTATAATTTATAAAATAACATTAAACAAAAATACATAAATAATAATTAAGCAAAACAAGAGAAAAAAGCAAATGTGATTAAAGCAAAATTCTGATTAAAATGTCAAAATAAAACTTTAATCTCTGTGATCTAAAATATATATATTTTTAATATTTTATAAAGTGGTAGAGACAAGCTATTATTAGTCTATTAAAATGTTTATAGTTTATATTACATTATGTTATATTAATACAAATTAATTAATGTTAATAAAATGTATTTATTTTTGTACATTTAATGTTTTTTATAATTCATAAAATAAAATTAAACAAAAAACTACACTTAATACAAAAATAATACACTTAATAAAAACACAAAAAAAGCAAATGAGGTTAGAGTAAAAAAAAAAAATTTAATTTATGTGAAAAAATATCAAATATTTGTGTTTAAAAAAAGAAGTGGTAGATCCTAGCTATTATTATGTTAATTATTTGTATATTATGATAACTATTTTGCTTCTTTGCAAGGCACAGAGTAGACAGTATTCTTAATTTATTTCTTTATTTGCTCACTGATTCATTTGTAAAACATTGCTCATCTTTTAAACAGTCTAAAGACACTACAGTAAAAAATATTTTTCTTCACATAGAAAGTAACAGTTGCTACCAGTTATCATCATATCCTTGTCATTGACAGATATTTATGATCGAGCATCACAAATGAACTCAAACAAGTCGGCTGGACACGCAATACAGGAACACATTACCCTTGACTAAACATGAGCCACTGTTTGGCTAATAAAAGTTTGGTAAAACCAGGTTTACAAACAAACAGAATAATTTAAATTGAATAATTTATATATTCAAACTTTGCATGTAATAAGAAGAAATAAACACATCACTACATTACCTCACATCTCATCATGGACTAAATAGACACTCAGACCCCTTGTTATGACAGATTACACTGATCTTGCATAGAGATGGCTAAAAACAAGTGTGTGATTTTTGCACCTCTGGCGCCACCAAGTGGAATTGCAAAAAAAAATAATAAAAATGTGTTTTATAAAATGAAATAAAATAAAACATGTTTTATTGTGGCACAATAACAAAATGTTCTTGTGTAGGATAGCCCTCATACATCAGCCATTACAGGAAGCCCAGTTTTTGAAGGCTGCTTAGAAAACTAGGAGCCCTTACCCTCCGCTGCAAAAAATTTTTTCTCAATCAGTATTTTTGTCTTGACAACACCTTTAAATAGTATAAGATGTTAAAACTTCAAAGAATAATTATTTTGTTTATTTAATGTTTATTTTTATTTCATTGTTGTTTTTGTTCTATTTTATTTTATTTTTGTTCATTGTTTTTGAAAACCGGCAGATTGTTTTCTGTTGTTTTAGCCCTTCACTGCAATATTTTAATGACATTGTTTTGTTTTCCCTAAAAACATTTAAACACCTTTTGAAAAAGTGTAAGATGTTAAAACTTATCTTCAGAGAATAGTTATTTTGTTTATCTAATTTATGTTACTTAATATTAAATTGTTTATTTGTATTGCATTGTTTATTTATTTTATTTCATTGTTGTCCATTGTTTTTGAAAATGGCCGTTTTTTTTTCTTGATTTAGCACAAATCTAACTTTTAGTTTAGTGAAGTCTACTAAAATAACAGGAAAAAATTAACCATAAAAAACGAATTCAAGATATAAAAAAAAAGCCTTATCTTGCACAACTTTGCTTCTCAAGTGCATTTATCTTATTTTAAGTATGCTTAGATTTAAAAGCAAGACAAAAATACAGATTAATAATTTTTATCAGTGTTAATTAGAGTCAGGAAGAACAAATTTGTGTCAGTTTCTATAAAACATTATTGATTTCAATTTACTGCTAGACAGATGTCCCCATTCACTGTTTTGTACACAGAAGAAACATTAGGGGTGATTTCGGTGGACGTCACTGATCAGACATCAGTGCTTATGGCACGTGTGTTGGAGTAGAGGTCCGGACGGCTTCGAGAGCTCAGCGATGCGCTGTGCAAAGAGGGAAGGGTGAGAGACAGGCACGGGCTGTCATAGTGGGACGGCATGTAAGTGATCCGTTCGGCCCCGTTCCGCATTTCGTCCATGGTGCTGATGTAAAATGGAGAGCTGTATGGGGAGCAGGTGGGGCAGAAGCTCTGCGGTGGCGTGGGCTCCGGTGACAGGGAGAGTGGGTTAGAGGCGACCCCGTCCAACCTAGATGTGCTGCATGCATTGCAGGCAAACTGGGGTTGTGAGCAAACAGCATCTGGATCGGATCCATTCTTCTTGCAGCAATAATACTAGAAGAAAAACAAGGCCAGTCAGTCAGCAAGAGAGATAGGAATGCCATAGGACATCATTGGAGAAATGAATGAATAATTATTATTGTTGTTTTTTATGTACAGGAGCACTAACTTTTTCATCCAAAGTCACCAAAACCAAAAGAAAAATATAAGTTATTTAAATATATCATAATAAATAAAATCAAATTAAATAATAAACTTTTTATAAATAAAACAACTCACTGACTTCATTTAAATCTTTCAAAAGAAACAATATAAAATGTAATTACATTTAAAAAATCTTCTTCCTACTGCTCCACAATTGTTACTGTTAAAATAAAAATATATAATAAAAAAAATCATAATAATAAATAAAATCATAATATAATAATAAAAATAAATCTAAATCTACATCATACTGTTGCACTATTGTTATCATTATAAATAAAAATAAAAGTAATAAAGTTTATAAATAAAAATAATTAAAATCTATCAAAAAATAATATAAAATATAATTACATTTAAAAAAAAAACTGCATCCAACTGTTTGACTAGTGTTATCATTACAAATAAAAATAAAATAAAGTGTATAAATAAAATAAAAATCATTCAAATCTAGAATAAAAAAATAAATAATATAATTTAATTAAATTAAAAAACCTACACCGTACTGTTTCACTATTGCTATC